ATAAGCTGGGGAGGCCTAATCTTCAGGTGAACCGTAGTATGTGTGAAGGTGAGTGAGTGTATGGTTGGTTTTATAAGAACATAAGAATGGAGGAAACTACAGTGGGCCTATTGTTCCATACAAGGCAGTCCCGTTTACACCCAACCCCTATTGCTCATATATCCATCCAACCTTTGAAGCTATTCAGCGTATTCGAGTTAATGATGATATTTGGTAACTTGTTCCATTCATCCACTACTCTATTTCCAAACCAGTGTTTACCTATTTCGCGCCTAAATCTAAATTTGTCTCATTTCAAACCATTGTTACGAGTTCGCTCCTGGTTGGATAGTTTGAGTACCTTTGTTAAGCCCTGACTTCCATTTATACACCTTGATCATATCGCCCCTCGCTGGCTACCACAACATTCTGGTAGTGTTGTCACGATATTGAGTTAGGTTAGGTTAGAGTTGAATTAGATTTGGGTTGGTTAGATTAGGTTAGGTTTGATCAGTATTGAACTAGATTAGGTTGGTTAGGTTAGACTAGCTTAGTGTCAGTTTAGGTTAAGTTTGCGTTAGGTTAAGTTAGCGTTGGGCTAGATTAAGTTAGGTTAGCGTTAGGGTGGTTAATCGTGAAGTTAAAATAATCTGGAGGGCTAATTTTCAGGTGATCCCCAGGTTCTAAGGTCACCCCTTAAGAGGTGTTGACTGCTGGTGTGCTCAAGTCATGAAGGTCACAGCACCAGTCTTGACCACTATGATGAGTCATGAATATTTCTAACAGTGCAGCAATGTGTTTGTGTATGTGTGTTTGTGTGTGGTTTTGTGCTTGTAATATTCTTATTTGCCTGCGTTTGTGTTTGTAATATTCTTATATATATATATATATATATATATATATATATATATATATATATATATATATATATATATATATATATATATATATGTGTGTGTGTGTGTGTGTTTGTGCACCTAATTCTCGGTCCGCTCCCGCACGGGCGCCCTCACTACCTGCATGGGCTTCCTCACTATGTGCACAGGTGTCACTATCACATGCACACAAAAGTCCTTACGTGCACATGCGGTCTCACTATGTGCACAGGTTTTATTGATGCCATCTGTTCAGGCTCATATAACACACACACACACACACACACACACACTGCTGCCTAATTAACAAACTTGGTTATATGCAAATTAGTTGCTCGTGACGCTGTGAAAGAATTTAATACACGGAGGCGAGTGTTTAGTTTAGTGGGTGGTGGTAGTATACTGAACCCTTTGTGTGTTGGATGTAGTGGTTAGTTCTCTTATTCCTCTTCGTTTCCTCTTACTTCTTCACCTCCTCCTCCCCTTTCTCCTCTTCCTCCCCCTTTCCTCCTTTTTGGTTTTGTCATCCTCTTGTCTCTTATTCTTCCTGCTTATTCCCCTCTCTTTGTCTTCTTCCTTGTTCTCTTCTTCCTCCTCCTCCACCTCTCGCTCTTTCAAGTTAATAAGAGCTGCTAATTACTCTTAGAGACTCTTATTTAGGACGGTTAAAATGTCCCCATAACTTTATTTTTCTTTTGGACTCTTGCTTCTGTTACTAGATATCCATTTTTTTTAAACCGTTATAGCCGTCACCAACTGCCGGAACCATCCCCAACAATCATAACCGTTACCAACCGCCTAAACCGTCACCAACTGCCTTAACCGTTACCAACAATCATAACCGTTACCAACCGCCTAAACCGTCACCAACTGCCTTAACCGTCACCAACTCCCAAAACCGTCACTAACCACAGAACCTGGATATAAAGTCCTGGGGAAGGGAGGGGGAGGGGGGACAAACTGATCCAAGTCGGCCTATAAAGTTTCTATAAAGTTATGTTTATTACTTATACGATTCATCAATGTTCCTTGTTCTTATCTCACTCCCGTTTTTTTTCTCCTTTACAGCACGGCGGGGCGCTTGAGACGGATGCTACAGAGATAAGGATTACCGTTAATCGCGCTGAGGATGATAAGAGCATCAGCATCACTGGAGGAGACGACCGGGATGTGTGGGGCAACAAGATCGAGTTCCTTCTCTCTTGTCTCTCCTTCGCGGTCGGTCTCGGCAACATCTGGCGCTTCCCTTACCTGTGTTACCGTAATGGTGGAGGTGAGTGTGTGTGTGTGTGTGTGTGTGTGTGTGTGTGTGTGTGTGTGTGTGTACGTTATAACAGGATAAATATTACATATGTAGATAACCAACTGGTGTATCAATAGTGCCTCCCTTGCAAGGTCATGTTAGGGAGTGAGTGATTGGTCGACTGGAAATTATAAACAGCAATAAAGAACGATACTAAGATTATATATTATTACAACTCACTTATTAAAACCACTTCTCTCTCCCCTCCATCAGGCGCCTTCCTCATCCCCTACGCCCTCATGTTATGCACCACAGGACTTCCTCTCTTTTTCTTCGAGTTGAGTCTTGGACAGTTTGGTCGTGAGGGCCCCATCACCATCTGGAAGGTGGTGCCCCTCTTCCAAGGTTTGGGTGTGGGCATGTTTATGATTGCCTTCTTCATCGCCCTCTACTATAATGTGATCATCGCCTGGGCGCTCTTCTACCTTTTCTCCTCCTTCACGGCCGAGCTGCCCTGGGAGTCCTGCAACCACTGGTGGAACTCTGATGCCTGTCGGAGGTGAGTTACCCCTGCTCCTGCCCTTACCCTTAGCACTACCCCTTCTACCTTTACCCTTACCCTTCTTACTCTTACCCTTAGCCCTACCCCGACCTGTACCCCCTACCTTCACTATTTAGGTGATGGCCAGGGTCAAGACCAACACACACACCCACAGTTGTGTGTCACTGTTATACCTGTACTGGATTGATTTACCTGTTAATTCAGGTTTAAGATACCTATATCGTCCTTTGTCTAACGATAATAATAACACTAATAAGATTTTTTTAATAATACAGTAAAAAAAGAATAATGTCAATAGTAATAATAATAATAGAAATTAACAGTTTATGGTAAAATGAAAAAAATGCATGTTTTCAGCAAATTCTTGATGATATAAACAAAGACTAATTAATTAGACTTGGATATAAAATATAAGACCGAGTACTGTATAATGAAACTAATATTCTCTCTCTCTCTCTCTCTCTCTCTCTCTCTCTCTCTCTCACACACACACACACACACACACACGTTGACTACCCAACATTCATCGACTCCTCCTTCCGCAGGTTCGACTCCAAGAACTGTACAGCCAACGGGGGTCTCATAGACGTAAATGGCACCTGCTTCTTGAAGAATCAGGTCGAGGCTGACAAGTGGGATCAAATGAACGTGACGGCGAAGTCGATGAAATTACCCGCCGATGAGTTCTTCCAGTGAGTAGCTGACGTTCTTCTGTTGTCTGGTGTGTTTTTAGGGAAACTTCTGTATTATTGTGGATTTTATTTTTCTCCACTCACTAACCTCACGTGACTTAATCTAACTTAACCTCACTTAACTTAACCCAACCTAATTTGATCGAATCTAACATAACGTGACCCTAACCTAACCCAGTATAACCTAATTTAACCCAACCTTACCCATCCTTAACATAAACCTAACCTAACCTAACCTAACCTAACCTAACCCAGTATAACCTAATTTAATCCAACTTTACCCATCCTTAACATAAACCTAACCTAACCTAACCTAACCTAACCTAACCCAGTATAACCTAATTTAATCCAACTTTACCCATCCTTAACATAAACCTAACCTAACCCACATTCTCATACCTCATTAACTTTTGCAGTAACTTTATGTTGTCCATCTCGGAGGGTTTCCATGACGACGAGGGCCACACCCTACAGTGGCGCCTCTGTCTCTGTCTTGTCCTCTCCTGGGTGATCGTCTTCCTCGGTCTCTTCAGGGGCGTCAGCAGCATGGGAAAGGTGAGTCTTAAGGGAACTAACTGTGCCCTTTAAATGAGTCTTTTTTTGTGTGTGAGTCAACTATCATTAATTGTGTCCAGGGGCTTTGAGGAAGTCTGTAATGTGGGGGAGTCCAGTGCCATTATTGAAGTCTTTTTGAGGGAGTATGCTGAAGAAGGTGACTGATGCCTTAACCGAGAAGGTAGTGGGCTCTCTTTTACTCTCAGGTGAAGGATAAAGACTAATTAGTGTGTGTGTGTGCTTACCGTCATGTTTAGTGTGTGTGTGTGTGTGTGACGTCGTGTTTAGTGTGTATGTGTGACGGTCGTGTTTGGGTGTGTGTGTGACGTCGTGTTTGTGTGTGTGTGTGACGTCGTGTTTTAGTGTGTGTGTCTGTGACGTCGTGTTTAGTTATATGTGTGTGTGACGTCGTGTTTTAGTGTGTGACGTCGTGTTTTGTTGTGTGTGTGTGTGACGTCGTGTTTAGTGAGTGTGTGTGTGTGTGTGTGTGTGTGTGTGTGTGTGTGTGTGTGTGTGTGTGTGTGACGTGTTGAGTGTGTGTATGTGACGTCGTGTTGGTATTGTGTGTGACGTCGTGTGTGTGTGTGTGTGTGTGTGTGACGTCGTGTTTTAGTGTGTGTGTGACGTCGTGTTTAGTGTGTGTGTGTGACGTCGTGTTTTAGTGTGTGTGTGTGTGTGTGACGTCGTGTTTTAGTGTGTGTGTGTGTGTGTGTGTGACGTCGTGTTGTTGTTGTGTGTGTTTGTGTGTAGTGTGTGTGTGTGTGAGTCGTGTATTAGTGTGTGTGTGTGACGTCGTGTTTAATGTGTGTGTGTGTGACGTCGTGTTTAGTGTGTGTGTGTGTGTGACGTCGTGTTTAGTGTGTGTGACGTCGTCTTTAGTGTGTGTGTGTATGTGTGACGTCGTGTTTAGTGTGTCTGTGTGTGTGACGTCGTGTTTTAGTGTGTGTGACGTCATGTTTAGTGTATGTGTGTGACGTCGTGTTTAGTGTGTGTGTGTGTGTGATGTCGTGTGTGTGTGTGTGACGTCGTGTTTAGTGTGTGTGTGTGATGTCGTGTTTAGTGTGTGTGTGTGTCTGTGACGTCGTGTTTAGTGTGTGTGTGTGTGTGTGACGTCGTGTTTTTGTTTGTGTGTGTGTGTGTTGTAGTGTGTGTGTGTGTGTGTGTGTGTGTGGAACGTCATGTTTGAGTGTGTGTGTGTGTGACGTCGTGTTTGGTGTGTGTGTGTGTGTGTGTGTTTGTGTGTGTGTGTGTGTGACGTCGTGTTTAGTGTGTGTGTGTGTGTGACGTCGTGTTTAGTGTGTGACGTCGTGTTTAGTGTGTGTGTGTGTGACGTCGTGTTTGGTGTGTGTGTGTGTGTGACGTGTTTAGTGTGTGTGTGTGACGTCGTGTTTGTGTGTGTGTGTGACGTCGTGTTTAGTGTGTGTGTGTGATCGTGTTTAGTGTGTGTGTGTGACGTCGTGTTTAGTGTGTGTTTTGTGTGTGTGTGTGACGTGTTTAGTGTGTGTGTGTGTGTGTGACGTCATGTTTAGTGTGTTTGTGTGTGTGACATCATGTTTAGTGTGTGTTTGACGTCGTGTTTAGTGTGTGTTTGTGTGTATGTGTGACGTCGTGTTTAGTGTGTGTGTGTGTGTGACGTCGTGTTTAGTGTGTGTGTGTGTGACGTCATGTTTACTGTGTGTGCGTGTGACGTCATGTTTAGTGTATGTAGTGAAGGAAATAAGCTTTGAGGGTAGAGGCAGGCAGGAGTATATAGGTCAGGTTCTCATAGATGTGTTTCCCTACAGGCCGTCTACTTCACCGCACTCTTCCCGTATACGGTGCTCATCATCCTCTTCGCTCGGGCCGTTACCCTTCCAGGCTATGGTGACGGCATCTCCTTCTACATCACTCCCCGCTGGCACCGCCTCCTCAAAGCTAAGGTCAGTGCCTCAACACCATTACAAGACATGCTAGAATACTATACCTGTAGTCCAAATTAGGTACTGTTAGGGATTGCTTGTGGGTTGGTTTACTTGTCTGGGGTGAATGAGATACCTTTAACTAAATGAAAAGGTTACTTAGATAAGGTTAGGTAGATTATATTAGCTCAGGTTGTGTTAGTTAGGTTACGTTAAGGTATCTCTTGTCTGAAATTAACTCGTATTACATTATTTAAAAGATACAAAACATTTTTCTGTGAAGAATAAGTTTTTTAATATTTTTTTAACAAGTCAAAAGACAACACGTAAAGAAACAATTGGTGGCCACAGAGGTGAGAGTCATGTCAAGGTAATTTACTCAAGTTACTGTAGGAATTGCAATGCTGACATCCAAATTGGCAGACAGTCTGTTTACAAAAGATCATATTACTGTACTGTATTTAAGTCACGTGTCTGCTAAAGCCTTATGTAATGGAATGATTGGAGGAATACTGAGGTGTGTTGGTGTTGCAGGTGTGGGCAGACGCAGCCATGCAGATCTTCTTCTCTCTTGGGCCGTGTTGGGGCGGCCTCATCACCCTCGCCTCCTATAACAAGTTTAGCAATAATTGTCTCAGGTCAGTCTCTCCTTTTATATGTTGTCTTTTTCTGTCTCACTTTCTCTCCTACCACATATTTCTCTCTCTCATTCTCAGTATTTGAGGATATTTACTCCCAGTCTTACATAATTCAAATTAACCATGAATCAATAATAGCCAAGATAAAAACTAAAGTCGTCACCCTCTCCATCTTTCACAGGGATGCCCTAATCATCACTGTAGCCAATTGCCTCACCAGCTTCTTCTCAGGGTTTGTCATCTTCGGTATAGTTGGCTTTATGGCACACGAACTGGGTCTTCCCGTCGAGGAGGTCGCAGCCCAAGGTGGGTGTGACTTGGATCCATCGTCTAGTTCTTTAAGGTTTGAGTTGTAATATAAAGTGTGTTTTAGAGCTGTTGTAAGAGCCCTTATGAGTTTGTCAAGCAGCACAAAGTATATTATAGATCTAACTTAAGAGTTCTTCAGGTACGGTGATCAGAGTAATTTAGGAGTGATGTAGAAGTACTTAAGCATGATGCCAGAGCAGAAATTACTGTATGAATGAAGGAAAAATTTGAACTAGTTCCTCATAAATTGTACATTCCGTCTTTAGTACATGAGTAACATTTTACCTCGTATAAACAGAAAATATAAATGAAAAGATAGCTATTCAAATAATTCTATACACTTTTAAACTCTCTCTCTGTGTATATAAACAAAATTTGTACTTATTTTATTACATTTATGGCATACCCTTAGGCTCTAGCTATTCCAGTCTACCATTACCTCCCGTTTGTGGTTACAGGTGCTGGACTGGCCTTCGTGGCATACCCTGAAGCAGTGGCCCGTTTGCCTATATCACCCCTGTGGTCCATCCTGTTCTTCGTGATGCTCCTCACCCTGGGTATCGGCTCACAGTTCACCATCGTCCAGACTGTCATCACCTGTCTCATTGACTTCTTTGGCTTCCGCAGACACCATAAGTGAGTTAATTCTCCAAGCTGATGTGTTTGTATAGTGAGATATAAACATTTATTTTATCTTCACTGCAAGACACAAATACATCTTCTTGTGTATATACAGCAAGATATAAACATTTGTTGTTCAGTGAGTAAGGAAAATTTATTATATCAATACATGAAGACTCAAACCTGTATCGTTGTGTGTGCGTACAGGAAAGTGTGCCTGGCGGTGTGTTCGGTGGGGTGTGGCCTAGGGTTGTTCATGTGCACACGACATGGCATGTACATCTTACAGCTCCTGGATAACTACTCGGGCACCTACTCTGCCCTCATGATTGGCTGTATAGAGGTGAGGCACTCATTCTCCTTCTCCTCTCATTATTCCTCCTTTTCTTCTTCGTTCATATTTTTAACCTCTGCTTCTTTTTAAATCTCTCTCTCTCAATTTTCGTTACTCCCCTTTTTGTATATTGATGTTCATATGTTATCCCACTAACACATTGGTGGCAAGATGCCCTCTAACATCTATCTAACACCCCCCTAACCTGTTATCTCTGCCCACAGCTGTTTGCTATCTCTTGGGTATATGGCGTGGACAACTTCATGTTGGATATCAAACAGATGCTGGGGAAGATGCCCTTCCCTTACTACTACTGGAAGCTGGCCTGGAAGTACATCACCCCCTGCAGTGTCTTCGTGAGTACAGTACCCTCAAATATTTCTTCTCTTGTTGAATGTTGTTGGTGTTGAATATTTCTCTTGTTAAACATAACTAGGTTAGACAGATTACCTTTATGAATGAATGTTACTTTACCTTAATAGACAGTTTACCTTAATGAATAAATGCTAACGTACCTTAGTTAACTCAGTTAAGTTGCCTTGTATAACTTTCCCCACAGAATATAAATTAACTTAAATATTCTGCCTAATAGTTCATTTTACCTCAGAGAATATAACTAACATTAACATCTTAACCTTACAGTTCATTCTGATCTTCACCTTCATTGATTACTCGCCTTCTGTCTACGGTACCTACAAATTCCCCATCTGGGCTGACGTCATGGGTTGGATGATCTCCTTCTCCTGCGTCTTAGTTGTGCCTATACGTGCTGCCTGGCTCGTAGCTGGCAAGAGTGGACCCATCTGGGCTGTGAGTATAAACCTTTTTCTTGTTCTTGGTGTTATTGTTCTTTTTCTTGTTGCTGTTGTTCTTCTTTTGTTGTCATTGTCATCTTTGTCTTTTCTTTATTTTCTATAGTTTCTTTTCCTTTTCTTCCTCTCCTCTCTTTTTCTCTCTCTCATCCTTTTTATGGAAAGCAGGGGTTTCTGTGAGCTGCGAGTGGTACTCGATATGATAAGGCCAGATTATCTCTCTCTCCCTCTTTCTCTTGCAAATTGTCCATCACAGCATTTTGGTAACTGCTCTTTGTGTGTGTGTGTGTGTGTGTGTGTGTGTGTGTGTGTGTGTGTGTGTGTGTGTGTGTGTGTTCTACCGCATCCTAACCTGCCTCTTCTGTACGCAGCGAGTGCAGCAGCTGTGTCGGCCAGAAGCTACCTGGGGACCTGAAAACAAACGCTCTTGTGATGAAACTCTCAACTACATTGACTCCAAGACACCTCTGGCCAACGGTGAGTTCTTATAGTGACCTATGTAAGGGTGCTTGTCTTAAATATGACCCCCCTCCCATTTCACCTGATGATTAAATGCTCTAATTCTAAATGAGGGTTAAGTTAGGGTGTCTTATCATCAGCTGAAATTAGGGGTGGGGGTTCCAAATCTTCATGAAATCTCAAATAATTTGTTGATGGTGAGTGGAAAAGGAGTTAAAATGCTGGATTTTGATACGAGTAACAATGACATTATTGTACCGGCAGTGTAGTTTTTTCTTATGTTATTTATGTCCATTTCTTATTCCAACAGATGAGGAACAATATGAGATGGATCGTGAGTCTCCATACCTGACGCGAGTGTCTGAGGAGTGGGAGGATGAGGAAGACGATGGCCTCCAAATGAAGGCTCCCGCACGCGCAAAGGTTTAGACCACTTCCTGCTGTTGACGTCCTCGGGGAGCTGTCCGAGGTCTGCTTGGTGGAAAATTCTTTGGCTAAGGTACCCTCACCAGGCCTCCGTAAATATAGAGCTTCGTCAGAGCATTCCTGTAGGGTCTTTCGTGGAAGTGCCCTCGTGTGAAGATCCTGCAGGAAGTCTGACAAAGATTACCTCCCCCAGGGATACTCAAGGACCTCTTTTGGACCTGAACTCTCCTGAAGCCAGTCTTTGGTGTCTCGTGCTGTTCTCACCAAATATCTCCCAACAGTCATGTCAAAAAGAAGGTTCCCAAGGGTCTGTAAGTTAGGTCAAGTTGAGTCCAAGGTCTTCGACCCTTATCAAGGTCACCCTTATCTCGGCATGGTTCCAAAAGACTGGTGCTTTATCTTAAACAAACACCTCAAGAGGAGCTTAGACACTTATGTACCGACACCCAACAAAGTTTACAAAATTAATGTTGCATGAAGTTGACATCAGTTCTTCAAGATATCCATTGTGCTGGTCTTTTGTGCTGTGCCTGTGTTCTCATTAACAAGTCATCACAGGAATATACAGTGTACAGCAAAAATACCAGGAAGATGAGTTTGTTAAAACCAGCATCACAGTGACTGTCATGTGGAGATAAAAAGTCTTTTGTTTGCACAAGTTACTGAAATGTAAACAGTAATACCAGATACTGGTAAGAGGAAGGTTCTATTAGTGTACTATTGCAAGTATTATTTTGACAGTTACATCATATGTAATTGTGTAGATCTGATATACAGTTGTTACATAATATTTTTTTATTTATATTTTGATTACTGTATGTCTATAATTTTTGTTCATTAAACTTTTTGTGTCTAAACGCAACATATAACTTACTTAAATATCATATCTATGGTTTTATTTATATACAAATACACACTCATATACACATACACTAGCACATTTTTATTACTAATGTTGTTGCAGTTAGTTAAGTATTTGTATATATTCTTAGAATACTGTACTCAGTTGTGTATACTGTACTGTACTTTTAGTTGTCCTTGTCTGTGGGCAAGCATAAGTAAGTGCTGTAACTCGAACCTTGACCAACAGTGAATACCAATGTGACATGTGTTGCTCCCTCACAGCAGTTGCCTTTACCACACAAAATCTTGGTTGTTTCCCTGACGTTCAGAACCATGTGATGATCGTCAGGGGAGTATTAGGCTGAGGAAGGTGTCGTAAATAGACCCGTGGAGTATTATAATGAGACATGTCCACTGGCCACCCTCATGTGTCCAGTGTTAACTTATTGCAATAATGCATCAATAACTGAATAAAGTCAAAAGACATTGCAACCTGCAACCAACGTAGGCACTGGCACGACATATATTGATGTGTCCACTAGCTAATCTCATATCACTACCATTTTTCCAAGTGTAAACTCTTGTCTATATTAATGTGCCTACTGACTAAACTCATGTCTTGATATTTTCACTGACAAAATGCATGTCACTATGATAAATCCAAAGGTTAACTCGTGTTCACTGGCCAAACTCATGTCCATATCTTAACCTTAAGACAAGTCAAGAAATATACGTCTGAATGACCAATTATATTTGTTATATTTATACAGATTAACTAAGTATTTTACATTCCTGAATTTTTACAATGAATATATTTCTTCCCCCAAAAATGCCAACTGCAGGGACACTTATTATACAACATAGTTTAATTCTTTTTCATTCATAAATGCAATTATAACTCTAAAAATTTTGAAGTGTCATGTTAGCGGGTCAAAGTAAGTATGCTACTGTTTTTAGAACCTATGTATGTGTTTATGTATATGACTAAGATGTTTATAGTATATTTTGGGGGCTAAAAGTCGGTATTATACCAACTTTCAACCTCTGACCTTAATCATGTACATAAAAACCAGGTGTGCTGGAGAGATACATTCCCCAACACACCTGATTTTTTTATATGGACATATAATAAAAGTCTACTTACACAAATACATAAAGAGGATCCAAACAGAGTAATGTGTCACTTCTGAACCCCATATGATCCCTTATAAGTACTGTATGTAAACATTGTCATTCTATGATGTAAACAAACTACAGTATACGATCTAACTTTGCCTGTCGTAAAAGCTTGAACACCTAACTTAAAAAATGTAAACAATTTATGAAAGATTAGTTTACGTGTAATGGAACGAGAAGAACTCGCATAACAACTTTGTCTGTTATAAAAGTGAATAAGAAATTTTCAAAATGAGAACGTAGCCAGTAATTATATAACAAACACTACATTATACCGGTAGTTAACAGTATGTGTATCAATTTTAGACATCCAATAAGAACTTTCTAAAATCAAAATAATCACGGCTATTGAAATAAAATTATATATCAAAATAATTTTTGTGAATTTGAATTTGGAAATTTTATAAGAACTTTTTAAAATAGGTATAAAGACCACAGAAACTGTATGCAATGATGTAACATCTTCCAGGGCTGGGGAAGCCTAGTGCCCCCTCACCCACTAACCCACCAAGACCCAGACTGTGACAATTAAAGTGTGATCTCTAGGGTTAAGACCTCGTGTATGCTAGGATAAGCTTATAAAGCTTACATGATAACTAACAAGTGTAGTTATCTATATGTTATCACCATAAGCAACCAGTAGTAGTTCTAAGTGCGTTGTCAGTTCCATGTGTAGAGCAGCGTACTTTATCATTTTGCGCTTCGGGTTCAGAGTTTGTGTACAAGATTGAGATGGTTTCAAAAAGGATTAGAAACAAATTTTTAGGGCCAGGTCTTGTTCTATGATGCCGTGTAACGTACCCTTAGTGTAGAGTGTAGTGGCTCAGTTGCTAAGAAGGTTTTAACGTGGTATGCTAACTGGACCCAAATAAAAAACAGTTTACTGGAGTTCTTAAGATTTGTTTCTGGTCATTTATGATGTTGGTGTATTGTGTGGGTGTCAGACCTTCCGAGGCTCCTCTTCTGCAGTATTGTCTACAGTTAATTCTCCATACGTAATAATTCCTTTCATAAAATCCTGAAATAACAACTTCCCCCCTTTTTTTAGGCTTATGGTATTAGGTGTTCATCCTTTCGTTAAAAGACTAACAGGAGTATTTAATGCTCTTTTAGTTTACCAGGTGGTGTTGTGTCTTAGTAAAATTATGCGGTAGCCATTATTCAGGAGTAATGGCTGAAGCAGTACTGACAAATGTCGGATCAGAGATATATGATATAAATTGTTTTGTCCAGTATTAAAAACAAAACATTACAAGTTTGGTATGGTAAATTCACATTATGTGTTTTGTGTTGGTAATGAAAATGAAGAAGTAAGAGTTTCTTCCATACTGTACTGTATTTATATTCTCATCTTTGGTGCTTGACTATGGTTGGCTAGATTCTGTTACTTGTACATAAAGTTTTGCTGATCATTGTGTCATATCAGACAGCAGTTATTATCATTTGTATTTAGTGATCATATTAATGTGTAATCGTTGCCACAATGCGGCCATAGTTACGTGAAGTAGAGGTACTCGGCATCTGCTGGTGCAGCTTGCTTGCTGCTGTAGCTTTAAGTCTGCCCTACAGTGGTGGCGACGTATCTTGGCGAGTCTACTGTACAGTAGTTAGTTGTATTTTGTTAACTCATAATTAAGATCCTGTGTTATGATGTAAACAATAACACTGTGATAGTTGGAATTTGATGTTTTTAAATGATATATTTAGCACATACCACAAATGTAAATATTAAGGCAGGACGTATGTAACGTTTCTCTCCAGTAGAGCTCTGTATCTCGTTGAGAACTGTACCTGGGTCTCGTGCCTGACTATAAATGTGATTTTTCGTAGTTTTTTTTAATGGGTGTACTGTACTGTAATTGGTATTGTATATAGAGTTATCCCCATACTTTATGAGGGATGGAAGGAGAGCATTTGTATTTTTTTTTTCAAGATGTCTCTTTGCCATTAAGAAAAAAAAAGTTAATTCTGGATGATTTCTCAACCATAGCAGATCAAGAAGTACAGTATCGATGATAACTGATACTAAATTAGACATACTACTGTCTCAAAACACCAGGTCTCTGCCAGAACAGTTACCTCCAACTTTAATTTCTCTCACCAAGAACCATAGTTTACATCTTGACATTCCCAAAAACTATTTCCACTGTGATTTAGTTTATGATTATCAGTCAACTCTCTTCTTTACTCCTTTGTAGTGAAGTCTTTTCTGTTCAGTTACATATCAAAACATTCTGAGAATGTACAGCAAATTTTGAGTGTCATGAGCTGCTAAATTATCAATAGTATCAACAAGGCTTTCTTTACTTTAAGGAACATGTGAGTTTGCCTTATGAATAAGAATTTGTGATGCTGCTGAATCCCACCGCTGCCACCATGAGAGCTGCACTCAGTCAGTTGTTGCCTTTCATACACAGAAGCACCAGAAGCTAAACGTGACAGGATTATGGCTTCTCATAGTCATAATCCTGCCACCCCTTTTGAACATTATTGTCATTGTCACAGAGGCTTAGGAATTGACCTGTCTTAGCCATAACCATGTTTTTAAGGCAAGAAAATGAAGAGCTGAAAATATAAACTGGCTACTCACTCTACATTAAACTCTACCTAAATTAGAGCTGCTAATGTATAGTTTTGTAGAAATTAGTGTACATAGAGATAATAGAGAATATATATATTACATTTTGTTGATTTTATTACATTGGGATGAAGTGGTAGTAACGTTACTGACAGGCGGCTCATAGCGGAAACAGAGCAGTGGAAGCTGTGTGTTGAGTTGCGTCTGAGAATTTAAAGTCACTTAGGAACCTGATATACTAAGTGATTGTGATGATGTATGGTGTCAGTGCCACTCATGATGAATACCTGGTCACGTACCTTATGTTAGTATTAAGACTACAGCTGTAATGGTTTTATTTTTTATGTATTACTTAACAGTGTTGGGGCCGACACCAGTTGTGGGCTGACCGGGTGTGACTAACAATTGTTGTTGCAGAACCAAACACATGCTTGGTGTGTGTTATGTGAGTACTGCACCACCTCCACTGACAATATCCATAAATCATAAACAGATCGTCCTATTAGATTAAGCTCGTACAATTACCAAATGTTGCAATAAAATTTTTAAAAGAAAGCTACTCGGCTGGCTGACTGTCCTCCTCGTATAGTCTGACAAAATTCAAAACTTAATATTGATGTGTCAAATTGTTGGATCTTTAGTATAACATTAAGGTGGCAGAATAGTTGTGGTTTACAGCCAGCCAGCCTACAGTTGTGACCAGATATGTGTTTTGGACAAGTAGAAATGATGTGATTCCTTAATTGCCATGTGTGTGTACCAGCTGTGAGGTCTCCTGCTATACTGTTAATGATGACCAACTGTTGGAAGGATGTATGTTAATTCTTCAGGTTACTGTGAGAGTCTGTAGAGATTTTGTCTGGAAGTGAGAGAGATGTCCCAAGATTTCTATAAATTTTTGATGAATTTGACCAAGGTTTCTCATTGTCTATGGAGAAATTTGCTGCAACACACCTGCTGTTTGTGGCAAATATTTCCTAAGACTTAACGCACTGGCGAGCTTATCAACAGATTATTTTAAGCTGATGACGAGTTGTCTCACGATTTCCGTTGGCCACAAAAAAAAATTACATTTTGAAGGAATTGTCTTCTCAGGGTTTGTTCATAACACTGTAATTGTACTTGACAGAAATTATCACAAAAAAATCACTGTAAATTCTATGTATTTTTAAATTAGGAATTTGAAGATAAATTTAATTTAGTATTTATGACCTTGTTACTAGCACTTCATATGCATATCGATGGTGCACTGTTGTTGATGTAAGGTGTGAAGCATCCTGTCAGGTGGCGCTGCTGGACTAGCATTTCTCGGATATAGTCGAGTAGAAGCATGCTGTTGAGCGTATGTTATAGATGATATAGAAATGTGGTTATGTACATTTGCCTTTGGAATCATATAAAGTAGCTCTAGCAAGTTGAGTCAAAAGACCTGAAAGGTAGAGAAAGAGTTGTATCGAATAAGATGGACATTTAGCAGTCGCGTCTCTTGGTATCAGCAGTGGTGCTCTAGAACACGTGATTAATATAATACTACTGATTCAACAACAATTGACGGTGAAAGTTTTCTAATGAGGTATAACTTGCTATTCTCAAACCTATTGCATTATCAAAAACATAATTATTGGGTAAAACATGACAATAGGTTTGGCTGCCTTATTTGGTTTTGTTTTCTTTGACAAGTATGATATAACTTTAATGTGTTTGTGCTTGTGTATATGTGCAAGAAAAGTGACGGTCAAATTTCACTTAAACCCTCATTAAGTATCCTTACAGCACAGCGACTGTAAACAAATCACTAAATTATCTGATTTTTGTAGGAACGAACATTGTTTAGTGGACGTTTTTTACTAAAGCGGACATAGTTTTGATTCACTGGAGCGAGCGTAAACACACATTGGCAATATCTTTATAACCACAAGATGATCATCTGGCAAGAAAATTGTAAAGAACTTTGAATATGGAGAACAGAACATCTGTACCATAAGGTATGACGAAAATCATGCTGGTTTTGAATATATATGCAGCCAAACCCTTTGTCAGGTATTGCCAAATATTCAGATATCTAAACAGGCGGAAAACTTGTAATATTGTGAAGTTTTTGTCGCCTACACTAGGATTAATATTATTAGACCTTACATAACCTGTCACGCGCCCCAACTGGTACTAAGAGAAAACGGCGCTGTTTCATGTTAATACTATAACATAACCTTCTAGCAAAGCTTCTAGCGAATTTAGGCTTTAGGAGCTATAGAAATAGCTCTAAAGTAAAGTAATAACTAAATATAGGAAAAAATATCAACCACTTGCTTCTTTTTGGCGTCATTTTCTCTACCGACCGACTGGGGTAATTTGGACATTTGTGATAATGATAAGAAATATCGCTCAAACTCACTTGTAAGGGACCGTGTCTATTTTTCTATTATTCTTGACAATGTAAACTGCAAAGATGATGTGAAAATGCTCCTTTATGGGGCTGGGTGTCAGGTGAAGACTGATTCAGGGCCTGTTTGGCCAGGGTTTGATTCATTAGAATTGATTCAAATGATAAGATTCATGAAATAGGATTAGAAACGTTTTATTCTTGGGCTATGAATCATGAGGTTTGAATCTTGGGTTATATTTTAAACGGCTGGATTCGGCGGTGATTCAAATTTCATACTTTAAAAGTTCTGAATCGGCACTTAATGCCACAGGGACCAAAGCGGGTTGTAATAAAAAAAAATGATATTCGATAAGTTAATTCAGAGTGTTATTCGGTGAGTCTGATCCCCAGGTGTGTGTGTGTGATTCAAGGATTCATACATACCAAAGCAGTGATGATTCAGGATCCACAATGACCTTAACACAAGGGACAAAAACAAATTATTTAACCTAATATAAACATAAGATAGATTGATGGCATTTTCTTTTAGTTGTAAACAAAGAAAGAATAAATAACAACAGGGTGACAGATATCTATTGTAATTAGCAAGTAAAAGTTAAATACTGTGTGGGTAATGGCGACGCTAAACAAACAATGACAGTGTAACAGTGATTCAGCCTATGACAGGGTAATAACGAGTGACTGAATTGGTGACTAATGACAATGTAACGACCATACTAGTGTTATACTGACTACCATGACCATACCAATGTTATACTGACTACAACGAGCATACTAGAGATCTACTGACTGCCACGACCACCAAGACTACCACCGCTACGACCATACCAGTGTTATACTGACCACCGGGACTCTACCACGACCATACCAGTGTTATACTGACCACCGGGACTCTACAACGACCACACCAGTGTTATACTGACCACCGGGACTCTACCACGACCATACCAGTGTTATACTGACCACCAGGACTCTACCACGACCACACCAGTGTTATACTGACCACCAGGACTCTACCACGACCACACCAGTGTTATACTGACCACCAGGACTCTACAACGACCATACCAGTGTTATACTGACCACCGGGACTCTACAACGACCATACCAGTGTTATACTGACCATCGGGACTCTACAACGACCATACCAGTGTTATACTGACCACCAGGACTCTACCACGACCATACCAGTGTTATACTGACCATCGGGACTCTACAACGACCATACCAGTGTTATACTGACCATCGGGACTCTACAACGACCACACCAGTGTTATACTGACCACCGGGACTCTACAACGACCACACCAGTGTTATACTGACCATCGGGACTCTACAACGACCACACCAGTGTTATACTGACCACCGGGACTCTACCACGACCACACCAGTGTTATACTGACCACCAGGACGCAGTCAACCTAGATACAGTATACAACACGACGCCTGTAGGACCAATATTCTCTGCCTTACAAGTAACACTGGCCTGTCTTCCTATTCTTGTCTTGAAGCCACTTGAGAAAAAAGAAAATGTTGCACTGGAAACTTTAGTTTTTTATCAACAGGTCATGAAATTTATTGATGTATTTCGCTTTACTGTGAACAATCAAAAATAAATTGCAATCGAAATTTTCAGGTGTTTTATTTGATTTATTCCTCTGTGCCGTTGTTCTTTATTTATTGTGTTTAGCGTAGGTTACCGTAAAGATAGGTTAGTGTTAGGATAGATTAGTGTTAGGATAGGTTAGTGCTAGGATAGATTAGTGTTAGGATAGGTTAGTGTTAGGATAGGTTAGTGCTAGGATAGGTTAGTGCAAGGATAGATTAGTGTTAGGATAGGTTAGTGTTAGGTTAGATTAGTGTTAGGATAGGTTAGTGTTAGGATAGATTAGTGTTAGGATAGGTTAGTGCTAGGATAGATTAGTGTTAGGATAGTTTAGTGTTAGGTTAGGTTAGTGCTAGGATAGGTTAGTGCAAGGATAGATTAGTGTTAGGATAGGTTAGTGTTAGGTTAGATTAGTGTTAGGATAGGTTAGTGTTAGGATAGGTTAGTGCTAGGATAGGTTAGTGCAAGGATAGATTAGTGTTAGGATAGGTTAGGTTGTGATTAGGGTGTTAGACAGGTTAAGTGTTAGGGATAGGTTAAAGTAGGATATTTAGCAGATGATTAGTGCTAGGATAGGTTAGTGTTAGAGCAGATTAGTGCTAGGATAGGCGGTTAGTGTTAGGATAGATTAGTGTTGTATAGGTTAGTGCCAGGATAGATTAGTGTTAGGACAGATTAGTGCCAGGATAGATTAGTGTTAGGATAGATTAGTGCTGTAGGTATTTGAAAGTAAGCTAGGATAGATTAGTGCTAGACAGGTTAGTGTTAGGATGAGATTAGTGTTAGGATAGATTAGTGCTAGGTTAGTTAGTGTTAGGATAGATTAGTGTTAGGACAGGTTAGTGTTAGGATAGATTAGTGCTAGGGATAGGTTAGTGCTAGGGATAGATTAGTGTTAGGTTAGGTTAGTGCTAGGATAGATTAGTGCTAGATAGATTAGTGTTAGGATAGATTAGTGTTAGGATAGGTTAGTGTTAGGTTAGATTAGTGTTAGGATAGGTTAGTGTTAGGATAGGTTAGTGCTAGGATAGATTAGTGCTAGAATAGATTAGTGCTAGGATAGATTAGTGTTAGGATAGATTAGTGCTAGGATAGGTTAGTGTTTAGATAGATTAGTGTTAGGATAGGCTAGTGTTAGGATAGGTTAGTGCTAGGATAGATTAGTGCTAGGATAGATTAGTGCTAGGATAGATTAGTGTTAGGATAGGTTAGTGTTAGGATAGGTTAGTGTTAGGATAGGTTAGTGTTAGGATAGATTAGTGTTAGGATTAGGTTAGTGTTAGGATAGGTTAGTGTTAGGATAGATTAGTGTTAGGATTAGGTTAGTGTTAGGATAGGTTAGTGTTAGGATAGATTAGTGTTAGGATTAGGTTAGTGCTAGGATAGATTAGTGTTAGGATAGGTTAGTTTTAGGATTAGGTTAATGTTAGGATAGGTACGTGTTAGGATAGATTAGTGTTAGGATAGGTTCGTGCTATGATAGATTAATGTTAGGATAGGTTAGTGCTAGGATAGATTAATGTTAGGAGAGGTTAGTGCTAGGATAGATTAGTGTTAGGAGAGATTAATGTTAGGATAGGTTAATGTTAGGATAGGTTAGTGTTAGGATAGGTTAGTGTTAGGATAGGTACGTGTTAGGATAGATTAGTGTTAGGATAGGTTCGTGCTATGATAGATTAATGTTAGGATAGGTTAGTGCTAGGATAGATTAATGTTAGGAGAGGTTAGTGCTAGGATAGATTAGTGTTAGGAGAGATTAATGTTAGGATAGGTTAATGTTAGGATAGGTTAGTGTTAGGATAGGTTAGTGTTAGGATAGGTACGTGTTAGGATAGATTAGTGTTAGGATAGGTTAGTGCTAGGATAGATTAATGGTAGGATAGGTTAGCGTCAGGATAAGTTAATCTTTAGGTGTTAAGAGCCATGTTTGTATTGCTTCGTTTTGCACTCGGCTCATCTCCTGTCATGCTGGTAAGGTAGGTTAGGATTTTGCTAGTTAATGAGTGTTTAGGATTATACCAGTGTGTTAGGTTAGGTTAGGATTTTGTCAGTTAATAGTGTTGACCTTCAGCTTGTGACGCCAGTGGGGAGGAACTCGTTTGATAAATCATGATTATTCACTTTCATGTTTCAGTATAATTTATTTTTCGTTTATATTGGGATGAGTTTGTTTGAGTATGTGTGCTTGGGTTAGAAATTAGACATTATGAAGAGCGTCAAGGGCTTAAGGCGCAGAACTCCATGTTAATCCCGGCCTAACACATACTTATGGGTTCCGTTGGTGTAGGTACTGGAGGGCATATTGTTAAAACACTTTATGTTCCTATAATAGTTTATTTTTTTGAGTCCCAATATATTTAACACCAAATATAAATATTTTTCTTTGTATTCAGTGTTCGCTAAATGTACATCCAGTTAACGAACATCTTCTTAAAGTACGAATCTTCAGGTACATTAAGCGAACACTGAGTATACAGTATATAACTTTCTTATTTTTATATTGTTAGCGCTTGAAGCAGAAGTCTTACAATAGAAATGTCTGTCTGTGAGTCTGGCGTTCCACACAATACCTGACTGAAGCTTCAAGTGAAACAATATCAAGACTTGCTAAAACATTCACTTAATAACCTTTTGTACATTTTTAAATCGCCACTGAACAGAAGCATTATTCAGTCCACCACTAAAAACATTTATTTTTTTAACTAAATAAAAAGTGTGCTTAAATGATAGCCCCTAAAATAGCCTCAGTGTTCATTTGTAAATAATGAATATATGTCACGAATACACTTTGAATATTGAACATAAAATTAGAGTGTTGAACATGTAAGGGAGGGGTTGTACAGTAAAAGTGAGATATTACTGGTTTTATAGGGAGAAGCAGCTCTATAAGTCACCAGGATATTATTTCGCCAATCAATCAGGTCACGACTGATGTCATCAATTAGGTCAAGCAAAAGAGGGTCAAATTTTCCTCCTTTCGTCCATCAAGTTACTTTCCCAGACGAGGTTCCTCAAGATGGGCTTAGCCTTATACTCCCCATTGCGTCCACTGAACACTTGACAGCGTCCACTAAACACTCCACAGCGCTCCCAGTCGTGTAAATTGGAATATTCCCGTTGATTGAGTTCTAGTTATTGGCGTTCTGCAGTGTTGTAAATTGTTATAAACAGGAATATTCCTATTGTCTGATCTGTTACTGGCGTTCCACACATTCTTGTAAACAGGAATATTCCTGTTGTGTAACTTTCTTTTAGTCTTCTCAACATGAATATTCTCGTTCTCTGATCTTTTTGTTGATCTTCTCAATACGAATATTCCCGATGTCTAAGCTGTTGTTATTGGCGTTCTACAGTTTTATAAAGTCTTATTCCCGCTGAGCTTCTGTTACTGGTTCTCCACAGAGTTCTCCCATTAATAGTAGTGTATAAGAAAAGAATATATAGATAATTAAGAAATCTCGTCATCACCTAACTGTGCATATCATCATCTAAACGTAAAAGGGAAACAAATGTTTATCACATGTTAATACAGATGTGGGGAAGTCAAGTGAACGTTCTCCACTCTGTACATTGTCAAATAAGTGTCTAATTTATTTATTTCCAATTACTTCCAATATTTAAGATAAGTTAATTCTTGCCTTGAAATCCTAAGTTCTTTTTTGACACTTCAATCATCTATAGTTAAACGATCTTTTTAAGACACGGAATAAAGACAAAACATTAATTAATTATAATTTCGCTACTGATATGATTTTGTTTTGATAGAAGTTGTTGGTGTGTCGTTTTAGAATCCTCCAACTTATTAATTTTCAAGACATTTTTGTCATCGATTTTCTCCTCATCACATTTTGAGTCTAGATTTGTTATTTTTGTGTAAATTTCTAAAGTTATATGGTAATCAACACAGCTCAATAAAGACCTTCACTGTGGCCACCTTGACTAATTCACCAAGTGGCGTCCTTTCTAGCACGCGATTGACTGCTGGTTGTTAAGTGAAAGTAAGTCAATGTTATGTTGATGTTTTCTCTCCTGAATCTTTCTTTCAAAGTGAGATGATAACTTCTCTGTTTACATTTCGTTCTTCAGGTTGTTGTTTGTGACTGTGTATATATGATTCTGTGTTTTTCAGCTGGATATTTCTACTTCGTTGTAAGTTGTCTGGGTGGATGGGTTGCTGGCTGTCCGTGAAGGTTTTTTGATGGGATAGGGAGGACATGGGATAGGGTGAGGGAGACGGTGGGATCAGTACAGTATTAGTTGCTACAGATGGAACAGAGGACGGAGTCGGATCGCGTAGCACACATACAGATCACGATGGCGGCGATGAGAGCTGAGAAAGAACACACACACACTGTAGTGAAGATCTGCACCATACACACTATACCACTACACATTATACCAGCCTTAAATACACATTATAGCATCGATAATTATATACAGTACTCTATACCACTTCATCTATTCAACAACAACAACAACACCTTATCTATCGTCTATCCACTACCCACACTACATCTATCCACCATAAGCAGAAACACTAAACTACCGTACCGATCCTTTACACTCACCGCAGAAGGAAGGGATAGTTACTGAGAAGAATTGAGTCGACTGCTTTCTCACCACAAAGTTCTCTCTCAGCTCATCCGGCAGTTTCCCTGTTGTTAATGGAGAAGTTAATGGTGATGGTGATGATGGTGGTGGTGGTGATGGTGGCGGTGCTGGTGGTGGTGGTGGTGGTATGGCGATATCGTATTGTAGTGTTGGGCGTGATGATGGTGACAATAATGTGTGATAATGGTGATGATGATGATGATAATGATGATGGTAATGTTAATATATTACTACTACTACTAATAATAATAATAATAATGCAAAGATTACTACTACCGCTACTACTACTACTGTTACTAATTATGATAATAATAATAATAATAATAATAATATTAATGATAGCTTAAATGCTACATTGACTTAGAATACGCAATATAAAGTATAAATCTATGGGAATTACTTTTCGTGGCGACAGGATAAATAAGCAACGAGCGTCGTATTATTCCACCCAAACTTAACCTGGTTGTCAGTCATTATTATAAACAATGCTAAAATTATACCACGAACATACCCCTTCCACTTCCTTTTCCTTTTAATAGTAAACTGATACAGCATAAATTAATGCTCTTATCGTAATTTTTAATAAATCCGGACAGTTTTGTTTGGTTTAGATCGCCTGGGAAAAAAGGGAAACAAAATTATATATCGCCACGGTGTTTTTTTTTTTTTAATTCTTAGCATTATTATCTTTTTAAGTCTTGTCTACTTTGGTGTCTCGTTTGTGGAAGTAACTACAGGGGTGTATACGTGTTTCATGGATTATAACTAGTGTAAGTACGTTTTTGGCATCACTAATGATCTGTTATAACGCATAATGGAAAATGGAGATAGAACGAATAAGTTACGAGTTATTAACGGGTTTCAACAACAAAGGATATTAAGTGCAAATCATTAAATCGGTTTCAACACAACATTCGGCCATCATTATTCAGCTGTCTCCGAGGCCCGTCACCCATATACGGTAAGTTATATTCACCATAATTCAGTTTACCATATAATGACTCGTAAATGTGGATAATTTTTTTTTATCAGTGTATAATAGAAATTCCAATAAGAGCTTTTAAGATGCAGTATACTGTGGAGCTAACCACTTAAAATAATGGCTAGCTAGGGCGTACTTTTGCTAGGGTACTTTAATGTGTTACTACCGAATCCGGCTTGCTCAACGAGTTCTTTTTTAAAGACGTCTGGGATCGGCAGTCTAACGTGTTCTTGGGCTTACAGAAGAAGGCTATTAATAATCACATTGATACACACGATCCAAGCACAGTGATGCAACGGGCGGTACGACAAGGCACGAACCAAAGAGGCAGCAGACCCTTGGCCTATCCGAGCTCAACCTGACCTAACGAACTATATAATTTGTAGTCAGTGCCATGCGTTGTGGTTTATTGCGCGTGACTAAATCTGGTTTATGCGTGTAGTACATGGTAACAGTATACAGTAATTGATGTTTAGTACGCAGATACACACCTGGGAAAAACAATTCTAGATCAACAGTTCTCACTACGCTATACCAGGGGAACATTGCTATACAGTTGCTACGCTTACATAATGACAGTGAATTAAATTGCTCTAGGTCTCGAGAGAGTAAGACTGGATTGAGATAGAGGTCGAGATATCAGAAGACAAACAGCTGTTATTGAGAGTGACTAACCTGTGGTGATATCCTCATTGTCAACTGCCACTACGTTACCGGTATCTGTTCCCGGTAGCCAACCAGATAGATAGCCAAGATAACAGAAGAGGCGCGGGAAATAAGATCAGAATTAGTAAATAAAGAAGTACAGCATACATCAACCATAGGTCCTGAACAAGAAACACGATACAAAGGATTAGTATTACATCTCTTGTGAGGTTTTGTTTTGATAAGTATTTTGGTATTATATCAGTTTTGGTCATCTGGGGAATCAGTTAGGTTAGGTTAGGATAGGTTAGGATAGGTTGGATATCTAAATACAGGGATGACCGAAACTCAAATTTTACTTTTAATTCTCCATATGTAAATCATTGCTGTGGTTGGTGTGGTTTTAAATGGGTGGTAGTAAAGTTTGTAAGTGGTAATTGTGGTGGATGGTATTACTATAGGTTTTAGTAATTGTTTTAAGTGGTAATAATTATAATAGCTGGTATGATTGTAGGTGGTAGTTAGGAATCGCAGTTATGGGTAAACATTTTTTTTTTTGACGGTAATGGTTGGTGTAGTCAAAGGGGAAACCAGTAACATACGATCGACTTACTTGTTCCTGTACCGGCGTTAGCTCCTGTACCGGTGTTAGTTCCTGTGGCGATGTCCTCGGCCGTAGCTACAAAGGAAAGAAGAATAACACATAAAAGATTCTGTCTTCTGTACATATCTGTTTGGGAATTTTTTGTTGATGAGAATGGCAACGAAGGCCATGAAGATACACTGTTATTATCTGCTTTCAGCCCTAGGAAAGTTGTGAAGTCTTTTCGATCAACCTGCAATGTGAAGTCTAATGAGAGAGGTTAATATTGTGGTAATGGTGGTGGTGGTTCTGGTGCTGATAGTTGTAACGTTGGTGGTGGTTGCTGGGAATAGTGGTGGTTGTTAGTAGGAATAAATGTGGTTGGTGGGTGTAATGGTGGCTTGTGGTGATTGCTGGAGGTAGTGATGGTTAGTGGTAGTGATGTTGAAGAAGAGGTTACAGTAATCATGGTTCTATTTATTATGAAATTATTAGTCACGATTGATACAGGCAGTGTTCGTGGTAGTAGTAAAGTGGTTGGTAACAGTGGTTCGGGTTTGTCAGTAATGGTGGTGACAGTAACGGGGACCAGTGTTAGTGGTGCTGGTGCCCCTTGTTGCTATACTAGTGATAGTGGTGTTAGGTTTTATGGGTGCCAGTGGTTGTGGTGGAAAATAATGTGGTTGCATTATGGTTTATAATGTGGGTTGTAGGTGACTTACCGGTACTTGTGTCAGTTGTAGTGTTTGTATCTCCGTCTGTCCCGGTACCTGAATGTATAAACATTTGATAGTGATAATAATGTGTTTACATGAGGCTGTAACATTGTTTTATATTATCCAACAGAATATTATATGTTTTATCTCCTATAATCAGTGTTAGATGACACATTTATTGAGATCCGGTCCTGAAGCCCTTGAGTTTGTCCGGCATTTGGTATATTGTGTCAGGTGCCATCAGTTATGGTAATGTGGTGCCAGCAGTTTTGCTTTCAGTAATGGTTATGATGGTGTACTGTGCACAACTATAAGTACTGGACAAATATGAGTATTGATTGTTCTAGGTGCTATTTGAAAAATAAAGATGATGTAAGGTAGCGGTTATGGTATTGACGTGTTGTTGCCATTTGTAATACTCGGGATAAGTTGCTGTAAGCATGGTTCTACTTGTAATAAAGTTAGGGGTTTGGTTGTGAGAGGCAGTGGTAGTTATTATGGTTGTGAGAGGCAATGGTAATTATCATGGTTGTGAGAGGTAATGGTAGTTATGGCTATGAGAGGCAGTGGTAGTAATCATGGTTGTGAGAGGCAATGGTAGTTATCATGGTTGTGAGAGACAGTAGTAATTATGGTTGTGAGAGGCAGTGGTAGTTATTATGGTTGTGAGAGGCAGTAATAATCATGGTTGTGAGAGGCAATAGTAGTTATTATGGTTGTGAGAAGCAGTGGTAGTTATTATGGTTGTGAGAAGCAGTGATAGTAATCATGGTTGTGAGAGGCAATAGTAGTTATTATGGTTGTGAGAGGCAGTGGTAGTTATTATGGTTGTGAGAAGCAGTGGTAGTTATTTTGGTTGTGGGAAGCAGTGATAGTAATCATGGTTGTGAGAGGCAATAGTAGTTATGGTTGTGAGAGGCAGTGGTAGTTATCATGGTTGTGAGAGGCAGTGGTAGTTATCATGGTTGTGAGAGGTAATGGTAGTTATTATGGTTGTGGGAAGCAGTGATAGTAATCATGGTTGTGAGAGGCAATAGTAGTTATTATGGTTTTGAGAGGCAGTGGTAGTTATTATGATTGTGGGAAGCAGTGATAGTAATCATGGTTGTGAGAGGCAATAGTAGTTATTATGGTTGTGAGAGGCAGTGGTAGTTATTATGATTGTGGGAAGCAGTGATAGTAATCATGGTTATGAGAGGCAATAGTAGTTATTATGGTTTTGAGAGGCAGTGGTAGTTATTATGATTGTGGGAAGCAGTGATAGTAATCATGGTTATGAGAGGCAATAGTAGTTATTATGGTTGTGAGAGGCAGTGGTAGTTATTATGATTGTGGGAAGCAGTGATAGTAATCATGGTTATGAGAGGCAGTAGTAGTATTATGGTAACATTTCTAGCTATAATAGAATGTTTGGCAGCGTGAATGGTGAAACTGTTGAGGGTTGTTAGTTGTAGTGGTAACACTGTAGGGTCCTGTGTTTAGGTGGTGCTGGTGTGTAGTAGTGCCAGTGAGTATAGCATTGTCTTATGGTTGCCAGTTATTGGGGTGGAAATTGCTCTGGTTGCATTGTGGTTTATAATTGAGTTGTATGTGACTTACCTACGGTAGTTGCTGTATTTGTGTTATCACCTGTACCTGTATGTAATCATAAATGTTAGTGATTATCACATAATTAAGTGAAGGGGTTGAAACATGTCGATATTTTATGTTGACGAACACTATATCATTAGTTACTGTCTGTCCTAGCCTAACTAACTTAACTTAATGTGATTGAAACCTTCATTTCGCTAATTGACTTAATTTTTTTCAGTCAATTCGTGAGATAACTGATGACACAGCTCTACTGTAACATATATTTGTAGTAGAATGGTGCAGAGGAAATCCACATTGTGCATCATAATATTTATCAAAATAAATAGTGAATGCTTTAATGTAATAAATAGTGTTGCCCGTGTTAGGATGCATGGTTGTACGGTGGCAGTAGTGTTGGCTACACTGGTCAGGTGTTGTCACTGACAATAATATTAGTTATGGTTGCCAGTGTTAGTGGTTGAAATTGCTGTGGTTACATTGTGGTTTATAATGGGGGTTGTAGGTGACTTACCGGTACTTGTGTCAGTTGTAGTGATTGTACCTCCGTCTGTCCCGGTACCTGAATGTATTAACATTTGATAGTGATAATAATGTGTTTACATGAGGCTGTAACATTGTTTTATATTATCCAACAGAATATTATATGTTTTATCTCCTATAATAATCAGTGTTAGATGACACATTTATTGAGAACCGGTCCTGAAGCCCTTGAGTTTGTCCTGCATTTGGTATATTGTGTCAGGAAAAATAGCAGTTGTGATATTGACGTGTTGTTGCCATTTGTAATACTGAGGATAAGTTACAGTAAGCATAGTTTTACTTAAAGTAAAGTTAGGAGTTTGGTTGTGAGAAGCAGTGGTAGTTATTATGGTTGTGACAAGCAGTGGTAGTGATATCTCCATTAGCCGGAACTATTGGTGCAAGACACTTCCGGGATTGAGAGATTTCCAGGTATGGAGAGGACTCTCTCAAAGTCGGAAAAAATTCCCTCATCCCTAGAATTTTCCGGGTAAAGGAAAAATGTTCTTGGAAGTTCTAGAAATTCCTCATTACATCTCTTGAACCAGGAAAATTATCCCCCATCCCTGCAACTTTCTTGAATTTTTCGGGTACCAGAAAATTTTTATTGTAATTTCTGGAAAATGAGCCTGATTTTCATCTCTCAACCCTGGAAAAAAAACTCCAATATCCCTGGAATTTTCTGGATGCTGGAAAAATTTTCTTTGAACTTTTTAGAAAAATTTCTCCACGGAAAATCGTTCTCAAATCTGGAATTTCCGGAAAATTCTGGCTTTGGAAACAATTTTCTGAGAAAATTTCAGTTCCGGATATTGGAGAGATCCGGTTAAGAGGGATTCCGGCTAACAGAGATATTACAGATATATGGTTGTGAGAGGCAGTGGTAGTTCTTATGGATGTTAGGGGCAGTGGTAGTTATCATGGTTGTGAGAGGCAGCAGTAGTTATCATGTTTGTGAGAGGCAGTGGTAGTTATCATGGTTGTGAGAGGCAGTGGTAGTATTATGGTTGTGGGAAGCAGTGATAGTAATCATGGTTGTGAGAGGCAATAGTAGTTATTATGGTTGTGAGAGGCAGTGGTAGTTATTATGATTGTGGGAAGCAGTGATAGTAATCATGGTTGTGAGAGGCAATAGTAGTTATTATGGTTTTGAGAGGCAGTGGTAGTTATTATGATTGTGGGAAGCAGTGATAGTAATCATGGTTGTGAGAGGCAGTAGTTATCATGGTTGTGAGAGGCAGTGGTAGTTATTATGATTGTGGGAAGCAGTGATAGTAATCATGGTTGTGAGAGGCAATAGTAGTTATTATGGTTTGTGAGAGGCAGTGGTAGTTATTATGATTGTGGGAAGCAGTGATAGTAATCATGGTTATGAGAGGCAGTAGTAGTATTATGGTAACATTTCTAGCTATAATAGAATGTTTGGCAGCGTGAATGGTGAAACTGTTGAGGGTTGTTAGTTGTGGTGGTAACACTGTAGGGTCCTGTGTTTAGGTGGTGCTGGTGTGTAGTAGTGCCAGTGAGTATAGCATTGTCTTATGGTTGCCAGTTGTTGGGGTGGAAATTGCTCTGGTTGCATTGTGGTTTATAATTGAGTTGTATGTGACTTACCTACGGTAGTTGCTGTATTTGTGTTATCACCTGTACCTGTACCTGTATGTAATCAATGTAATCATAAATGTTAGTGGTTATCACATAATTACGGGGTGTTGAAACATGTTGATATTTTATGAAGGGAAAGTAGCAGATATAGTTTAATCAGTATATAATGGTAACTAAGAGATGACACAGGTGATAGAGCTAGGATATTATACTATGTGAAGAAAGTTTAGTAAATAGTTATACATTACCGGTATAAATAACTTCACAACACTCGAAGCATTGTTTTACGATCAAAACACTGAAATCCGAGAGTGTAGGGGGGTGAGACTCCTGAGAATGATGGGGGTGGATATGATTAAACTGCTTATTCTTATTAGTGTTAAAGTGTCAGTCACTATGAGTAGCTAATAAAGCCTTGTGGTGAAAACAGCTTTAGTTACATTAAGGTTTATAACTGGAGTGTAATGTGACTTACCTGTGCCAGCTGTAGAATCTGAGCCTCCTGCATTGGTACCTGTAGGCAAAGAGGGATGTTAGTGATGATTATGTATTTAAGGGTGTACCAAGCCATCTCGACTGTAGGGGGGAAAGGAACAGTTTAAGGAGGGGAAGGAAGAGTTGAAGGAGGTGACGAGAGTAGTAGAATGAGTATATAAAACAAGTGTCATAAGATATTGATTACAAAGCCTGCGGAAAGACTGGAAAATTTGGAGTAATAAGAACTAATTCCTCTAAATTTTCAGCGACTCGGGAGGGATTCATATGGCGTATCAGAAGGTCGATTATGGTGGCCGAGTGGATACAATATTCACTTACTAGTTCGATCCCAAGGCACGTTCAGGTCCACTTTGCTGTAAATGGGTACACAGATGAGGAAGTGAAAGCGGTCGAGTGCGGTTCCGGCCACATTGCTACACTCTACACCTTCATTACTTCGTATACAGTGTTATGTAGCTACTTACAATACCACTAATGTTCAGTCAGACATCTGGAACCACTCTCACTTCCACCAGAGAGAGATCTTAGGTTTTTAAAGGAAGAATTAGAATGTGTCAACCAGAGATGGAAACTTGTGTGTGGCAGAATGTTCCTCTTTAATACTGTACTTATGATAAAAATGGATTTGTGAGTATAGTTGTAGCTGCCATCGATAGTAGAGTTGTGAGTATTGGTAACCAGTTGTGGTGTTACGTTTGATTATTTACCTGTGATGGTGTATATACCTGTGAACTTAAGGACAGGTGTGCTATGAGAAATGGTTGTAGATGCTTTTAATAACATTTGGTTGTGTTACTGGTGATAGTGTTATTTGATATCTAGTTATAGTCTTTAGTGAACAAGTACAGGTTGCTAGTAGGTTTAGTTGGAAATAATATAATTTATGGTTGCAAGTGAAGTGGATTAGTAGAATTGTTAAACCAGACAGTGAGTAATTTACCATGGAGAGTTAAGTGTAAGTTGTGCTAGTAGTGATCAGTATTGCCATTGCCAATATGCAGGATACATGGTAGCTAGTGGCAGTGGTGGTAATAGTTATGGTGGCAGTGTGTTTGGTAACTGTGATGGAGGTGACGGTAGTGTTTGGTCCAGTAGTGCCGGTATATTGTGCATGGTCTATACCTGTACAAACTGAATAAGTAGGAAGATAGTTACGGTTGTAGGTATTATTGGTAAGCACAGTAAGTGGTTGTAGTGAGTTATAGTGTAGACGTGTACAGTAGCTGGATTTGGGTGCCAAGTGTAGGATGCAGAGAGATTGGTTTCTATTATATATGGTGCGAGTGTTAAAGATTGTGGTAAATGTGTTTATGGTTGCTAATGTTAATAGTGCTAGTAGTTATGGTTGTCATTAGTAATGGTGGTAGTTGTGTTTGTAAATATTTCTGAGCAAAAATCACATAGAGACAAATGTTATTGGTTCTAGTGCCTACTGTTGCCAGTGACAATAGTGTTGGAAGTTATGGTAGTCAGTGGTAGTGATGGAAGTTTATATGGTTGCATTGTGGTTTAAAACGGTGGTGTATGTGACATACCTCCGGCAGGTGTAGTATCTGAGGCTGAGACTTCATTTGTACCTGTATAAATACATAGATAATGGTGATAATCATGTGTTTACTGGGCGTTGATACATGGTTGTATATTTCTGTATATTTCAGTTGTAAAGGTGATAATAACAATGGTGGTGGAACTCTGTACTTTGCTAGTAATGTTGGTCAAGACACATTTAGTGTAAATATTAATAGTACTAGTAGCTGTGGTTATGAATAAAGGTTTACCGTTGTCGTTTCGCAAGTGTAAGTTGTGATTAGTGATCAGTATTGCCATTGCCAATATGCTGGATATATGGTAGTTAGTGGAAGTGGTGGTAACAGTTATGGTGGCAGTGTGTTTGGTAACTGTGATGGAGGAGACTTACTTCCAGTAGACTCAGCAGTTGTGGTTGTAGTTCTTGTTGTTGTTGTTGTATCTGTGTACCGAATATTAAAATGTGAATGTCAGTAGTATTGGGTTACACAGGGCAATGAGATATGTATTATGTATATATTTTTATGTGAGTACATTATAATTTATTTTTAACAGTGTGTGTGTGTGATCAGAATAATTAAACAGACCTTGCAATAATATTGTGAGAAGCAAATAAGTTTTCCTGTGTATTGTAACCAAACTAAGGTCAATAATGTAAAACAAGAGTGGGGGTTAAGTTAGATATGCTGAGCCTTGGGGCACTCCGGCGCAGCAAGAAAAACAACTAGTGTGATGTCTCTACAGTGTATGATTACTGCGCTAGTATCGAAGTTAACAGATTATAAAATTAGAAACTTAACATGATGGAATTTGGGCAAAAAAAGCTTTTATGTGAAGTTTACTAAAATATATAATGGTAGTGTTGCTAATTGTCTGAAGTTATAGAGTAAATAAAAGGTCGTGAATATAGGGGAAAAGATCAACCGGTGAAGAATAGTCTGGATGTAACCCACATTATTGGTGACTTATGATATTGATAATACAATATACTGATAGTACCTGTACATCAATTTGTAGTGCTCCGAGTGATAACAGGTATGACGGTAAGGTGACGGTAGTGTTAGCTACAGTAGTATCGGTATATTGTGCATGGTCTATGCCTGTACAAACTGAATGAGTGGGTAGGTAGTTACGGTTGTAGGTATTAATGGTAAGCACAGTAAGTGGTTACAGTGAGTTATAGTGTAGACGTGTTCACTGGCTGGATTTGGGTGACAAGTGTAGGATTCATCGAGATTGGTTTCTATTATATATGGTGCGAGTGTTAAAGATTGTGGATAATGTGTTTATAGTTGCCAATGTTAATAGTGCTAGTAGTTATGGTTGTCATTAGTAATGGTGGTAGTTGTGTTTGTAAATATTTCTGAGCAAATATCACATAGAGACAAATGTTATTGGTTCTAGTGCCTACTGTTGCCAGTGACAGTAGTGTTGGAAGTTATGGTAGTCAGTGGTAGTGATGGAAGTTTATATGGTTGCATTGTGGTTTAAAACGGTGGTGTATGTGACATACCTCCGGCAGGTGTGGTATCTGAGGCTGAGACTTCATTTGTACCTGTATAAATACATAGATAATGGTGATAATCATGTGTTTACTGGGCGTTGATACATGGTTGTATATTTCTGTATATTTCAGTTGTGAAGGTGATAATAACAATGGTGGTGGAACTCTGTACTTTGCTAGTAATGTTGGTCAAGACACATTTAGTGTAAATATTAATAGTACTAGTAGCTGTGGTTATGAATAAAGGTTTACCGTTGTCGTTTCGCAAGTGTAAGTTGTGATTAGTGATCAGTATTGCCATTGCCAATATGCTGGATATATGGTAGTTAGTGGAAGTGGTGGTAACAGTTATGGTGGCAGTGTGTTTGGTAACTGTGATGGAGGAGACTTACTTCCAGTAGACTCAGCAGTTGTGGTTGTAGTTCTTGTTGTTGTTGTTGTATCTGTGTACCGAATATTAAAATGTGAATGTCAGTAGTATTGGGTTACACAGGGCAATGAGATATGTATTATGTATATATTTTTATGTGAGTACATTATAATTTATTTTTAACAGTGTGTGTGTGTGATCAGAATAATTAAACAGACCTTGCAATAATATTGTGAGAAGCAAATAAGTTTTCCTGTGTATTGTAACCAAACTAAGGTCAATAATGTAAAACAAGAGTGGGGGTTAAGTTAGATATGCTGAGCCTTGGGGCACTCCGGCGCAGCAAGAAAAACAACTAGTGTGATGTCTCTACAGTGTATGATTACTGCGCTAGTATCGAAGTTAACAGATTATAAAATTAGAAACTTCACATGATGGAATTTGGGCAAAAAAAGCTTTTATGTGAAGTTTACTAAAACATGTAATGGTAGTGTTGCTAATTGTCTGAAGCTATAGAGTAAATAAAAGGTCGTGAATATAGGGGAAAAGATCAACCGGTGAAGAACAACCGGTGAAGAATAGTCTGGATGTAACCCACATTATTGGTGACTTATGATATTGATAATACAATATACTGATAGTACCTGTACATCAATTAGTAAATTGCTCCGAGTGACTAACAGAGTATGACAGTATTGGGTGACGGTAGTGTTAGCTACAATGAAATATCGATTATATTGTGCATGGTCTATATGGCCTGAAACTGAAAAGTGGGTGAAATAGTTACGGTTGTAGGTATTAATAAAGTAGCACAGTAGTGGTTACAGTGAGTTATAGTGTGAACGTGTTCACTGGCTGGATTTGGGTGACAAGTGTAGAGTTCATAGAGATTGGTTTCTGTATATATGGTGCGAGTGTTAAAGATTGTGGATAATGTGTTTATAGTTGCCAATGTTAATAGTGCTAGTAGTTATGGTTGTCATTAGTAATGGTGGTAGTTGTGTTTGTAAATATTTCTGAGCAAATATCACATAGAGACAAATGTTATTGGTTCTAGTGCCTACTGTTGCCAGTGACAGTAGTGTTGGAAGTTATGGTAGTCAGTGGTAGTGATGGAAGTTTATATGGTTGCATTGTGGTTTAAAACGGTGGTGTATGTGACATACCTCCGGCAGGTGTGGTATCTGAGGCTGAGACTTCATTTGTACCTGTATAAATACATAGATAATGGTGATAATCATGTGTTTACTGGGCGTTGATACATGGTTGTATATTTCTGTATATTTCAGTTGTGAAGGTGATAATAACAATGGTGGTGGAACTCTGTACTTTGCTAGTAATGTTGGTCAAGACACATTTAGTGTAAATATTAATAGTACTAGTAGCTGTGGTTATGAATAAAGGTTTACCGTTGTCGTTTCGCAAGTGTAAGTTGTGATTAGTGATCAGTATTGCCATTGCCAATATGCTGGATATATGGTAGTTAGTGGGAGTGGTGGTAACAGTTATGGTGGCAGTGTGTTTGGTAACTGTGATGGAGGAGACTTACTTCCAGTAGACTCAGCAGTTGTGGTTGTAGTTCTTGTTGTTGTTGTTGTATCTGTGTACCGAATATTAAAATGTGAATGTCAGTAGTATTGGGTTACACAGGGCAATGAGATATGTATTATGTATATATTTTTTTGTGAGTACATTATAATTTATTTTTAACAGTGTGTGTGTGTGATCAGAATAATTAAACAGACCTTGCAATAATATTGTGAGAAGCAAATAAGTTTTCCTGTGTATTGTAACCAAACTAAGGTCAATAATGTAAAACAAGAGTGGGGGTTAAGTTAGATATGCTGAGCCTTGGGGCACTCCGGCGCAGCAAGAAAAACAACTAGTGTGATGTCTCTACAGTGTATGATTACTGCGCTAGTATCGAAGTTAACAGATTATAAAATTAGAAACTTAACATGATGGAATTTGGGCAAAAAAAGCTTTTATGTGAAGTTTACTAAAACATGTAATGGTAGTGTTGCTAATTGTCTGAAGTTATAGAGTAAATAAAAGGTCGTGAATATAGGGGAAAAGATCAACCGGTGAAGAATAATCTGGATGTAACCCACATTATTGGTGACTTATGATATTGATAATACAATATACTGATAGTACCTGTACATCAATTAGTAGTGCTCCGAGTGATAACAGGTATGACGGTAAGGTGACGGTAGTGTTAGCTACAATAGTATCGGTATATTGTGCATGGTCTATGCCTGTACAAACTGAATGAGTGGGTAGGTAGTTACGGTTGTAGGTATTAATGGTAAGCACAGTAAGTGGTTACAGTGAGTTATAGTGTAGACGTGTTCACTGGCTGGATTTGGGTGACAAGTGTAGGATTCATAGAGATTGGTTTCTATTATATATGGTGCGAGTGTTAAAGATTGTGGATAATGTGTTTATAGTTGCCAATGTTAATAGTGCTAGTAGTTATGGTTGTCATTAGTAATGGTGGTAGTTGTGTTTGTAAATATTTCTGAGCAAAAATCACATAGAGACAAATGTTATTGGTTCTAGTGCCTACTGTTGCCAGTGACAATAGTGTTGGAAGTTATGGTAGTCAGTGGTAGTGATGGAAGTTTATATGGTTGCATTGTGGTTTAAAACGGTGGTGTATGTGACATACCTCCGGCAGGTGTGGTATCTGAGGCTGAGACTTCATTTGTACCTGTATAAATACATAGATAATGGTGATAATCATGTGTTTACTGGGCGTTGATACATGGTTGTATATTTCTGCATATTTCAGTTGCCAGAAGGTGATAATAACAATGGTGGTGGAACTCCCTGTACTTTGCTAGTAACAAGGTCAAGACACATTTAGTGTAAATATTATCAGTGGTCAGCAGCTGTGGTTATGAATAAAGGCTTACCGTTGTCGTGTTTCCGCAAAAGTGTAAGTTGTGATTATGACTCAGTACGCTACTGCTGGCTGGCGCTGGGATATATGGTTAGTGGAAGTGGTGGTACAGTTATGGTGGCAGTAAAAAGTTTGGTAACTGTGATGGAGGAGACTACTTCCAGCAGAGACTCAGCGCAGTTGTGGTTGTAGTTCTTTTGTTAAGTTGCTAAGGTATCTGTGTACCGAATATTAAAATGTGAATGTCAGTAGTATTGGGTTACACAGGGCAATGAGATATGTATTATGTATATATTTTTATGTGAGTACATTATAATTTATTTTTAACAGTGTGTGTGTGTGATCAGAATAATTAAACAGACCTTGCAATAATATTGTGAGAAGCAAAGAAGTTTTCCTGTGTATTGTAACCAAACTAAGGTCAATAATGTAAAACAAGAGTGGGGGTTAAGTTAGATATGCTGAGCCTTGGGGCACTCCGGCGCAGCAAGAAAAACAACTAGTGTGATGTCTCTACAGTGTATGATTACTGCGCTAGTATCGAAGTTAACAGATTATAAAATTAGAAACTTAACATGATGGAATTTGGGCAAAAAAAGCTTTTATGTGAAGTTTACTAAAATATGTAATGGTAGTGTTGCTAATTGTCTGAAGTTATAGAGAAAATAAAAGGTCGTGAATATAGGGGAAAAGATCAACCGGTGAAGAATAGTCTGGATGTAACCCACATTATTGGTGACTTATGATATTGAAAATACAATATACTGATAGTACCTGTACATCAATTAGTAGTGCTCCGAGTGATAACAGGTATGACGGTAAGGTGACGGTAGTGTTAGCTACAGTAGTATTGGTATATTGTGCATGGTCTATGCCTGTACAAACTGAATAAGTGGGTAGGTAGTAACGGTTGTAGGTATTAATGGTAAGCACAGTAAGTGGTTACAGTGAGTTATAGTGTAGACGTGTTCACTGGCTGGATTTGGGTGACAAGTGTAGGATTCATAGAGATTGGTTTCTATTATATATGGTGCGAGTGTTAAAGATTGTGGATAATGTGTTTATAGTTGCCAATGTTAATAGTGCTAGTAGTTATGGTTGTCATTAGTAATGGTGGTAGTTGTGTTTGTAAATATTTCTGAGCAAATATCACATAGAGACAAATGTTATTGGTTCTAGTGCCTACTGTTGCCAGTGACAGTAGTGTTGGAAGTTATGGTAGTCAGTGGTAGTGATGGAAGTTTATATGGTTGCATTGTGGTTTAAAACGGTGGTGTATGTGACATACCTCCGGCAGGTGTGGTATCTGAGGCTGAGACTTCATTTGTACCTGTATAAATACATAGATAATGGTGATAATCATGTGTTTACTGGGCGTTGATACATGGTTGTATATTTCTGTATATTTCAGTTGTGAAGGTGATAATAACAATGGTGGTGGAACTCTGTACTTTGC